GTACCAGCATGTTGATCCAGGAAAAGAGGAACCAACTTTTGGTCAGGTTTCAGCTAGTACCTCTGCCCATCCAGGGGTTATGCCACGACCAAAGATGTGTAAGGGTAGACAACCAAAAATTTATAAATGTGAACTGTGCCATCAAGAGTTCAAGAATAGCACCCAGCTGAAGAACCATGCTTGGCGTCATACTGGTGAGAAGCCATTTGCATGTCATATTTGCCAAGCTACTTTTACACAACAGTCTAACTTGAAAACACACCTGCGAATTCATACAGGTGAACGACCATACACATGTGAAGAATGCAATTCTACTTTTACTCAGATTTCCAATTTGCGCACACATCAGAAAATTCATACTGGAGAAAAACCTTATGAATGTGATATCTGTTTTACTAGATTTTCCCAGCAGTCTAATTTAAAGAGCCACAAACTGATCCATTCAGGGGAAAGGCCATTTAAATGTGATGAATGTGGATCATGCTTTGTACAGTCTACCCATTTACGAAATCATAAACGTATTCATACAAATGAGAGACCCTATGCTTGCGAACAGTGTGGAGCAAAGTTTCGGCAGTTATCAAATTTAAAGACTCATGAAAAAATCCACACAGGAGAACGCCCATTCGTATGTGAAGATTGTGGTTCCGCATTTGCACAGAAATCTAATCTAAAATCTCACAGAATAAAGCTGCATTCTGCCGATGGGGTGCCAAATAGGCGAGGTCGCAAGAAGAAACTGGAAGCAATACGGCCCTTTACTTGCGAACAGTGTGGAGCAAAATTTACCATGATGTCAAACCTCAAAATCCATTTGAGGTTGCATACTGGGGAAAAACCATATCAGTGTCAGATATGTGGTGCTAGCTTTGCCCAGCGTTCAAATCTTAAAACCCATGAGCAGACCCACACTGATGAACGTCCCTATAGATGTCAGGAATGTCCAGCAGCTTTTAGGCAGAAAACAAACTTGAAGACCCATAAAATGAAAAAGCACCCTGTAAAGAGTTTGAAAATTAAGATATTACAAGATTCCCAATACATCATGCAAGACCTGTTGCAAGGGGGAGGGGAAGAAGGACCCTCTCACATAGAGGAACCGATTGTGCAGATAAGGGAAGGGGAGAGGGAACATTTACACCTTTTGGAAGGTGCCTGTGGGGTGGATGATGATGATGATAGTATTAAATCTGAAGAAGAAGAGTACCATAGTCAAGAGGGCCCAGATGCAGGTGATGTCATGCACAGAAGCTGTAAACCATATACTCCTGAGGCCAATCCATATGATAGTCAGAATTTTCAGTGAAGATGATTTGGCATTAAGTACTGGAGGTTGTAAATGTATGGATTATATATATCATAAATTGAGACATAGAAGTCATTACTTACCTGTAGGTTATACGGACTAGGTTAATGCAGTTTCAGCATTTTTTTTTTTTTTTTTTTTTTTTTTTTTTTTTTTTTTTTTTTTTTTTTTTTTTTTTTTCTCTCTAGAAAAAATGTCTAGTAAAAGTAGAAGAAAAGCTATGCATTTTGGAATTGAGCATACTTGTATGAGGGACTTTCTGGAACAAAAATAAGGTTTCAAGAGTCACAAAGGATAAAGAAACAGAAAGAGGTAGCAAACCATTATTTTAAGGGTTAAGTAATGCATTACTAGTACCAATAAAACATAACTTTGTTTTCTGGGGTTGAATTCGTATGAAAGCATTTTCTGAATAATATTAAGAAAATTTGGTTATGCTCACTTTATTGAACATGCTTGCACTCTCAAGTAAATATGCATTTGCAGACATGCCTCCTTCCCTCTACATTATCTTTCCTCTCATTTTATCTAGCTCCCCCCTTGCCTTAGCTGGCTATTTTTGCATATTGATACTTAATACTCTGCAGTAGACTCTGTTCAGAAGAATTTCCCTTTGTTTATCTTGCTGTCATTGCTAGAGGGAAATGAATTTTTAACAATTAGAGAATAAGAGCTTCAAATTCTCATTCAACTATTATGTAAGGAGGCATTTTACATGTAATGACAGATTATCATACAGGATCAGCTTTTGATGTATGACTTGAATAACAAACACAAAAAGATTGACAAATGTGCTTGTAGAATTAGACACATCATTTAAAACTGTCATTACCTGTGCAAAGTAGGTAAACAATTATGCTTTGGGTCTTGTGAAAAGAAGCAGTGGAAAAGGGTTTAGATTTTCTTTTTTCTTTTTTTTCCAATTTATTTTAGTATGTATTTAATGATTAAGCACATGATCATTAGTCTTGTCTGACCAAAATGTAAGGTGAGATATGATATTGATTCAACTGTAATCACCTTATCATCAATGCAAGTCTGATGACCAAAAATTACAAGGTAGTAGTACTCAGAATATATAGCACCAATTGCGGATGCTTTGAATCAATATTAAAGTAGGTTTCAGGTAAAGTGTTGCAGATACTGTTTAAAACTTAATTGCTTTTGTTTTAAATGTTTAAAGATTGATAAGGA